ATATTACTCCTGTAGTAGGAAATGGAAGAGACTGTAGTTAACATCTGGGCTGAGCGATCAATTGAACATGAGCAGGACAAGTAATGTCAGGACACCAAGACATTCCAGGGAGGACGTCCTGGGGAAACAGCAGGGAGCCCCATCTGAGTGCATTGGGAAGACCAATAAAGCCCAAACCAACAAGAACAATGGCAGCAGCGAAAGGAGGAAAGATTAGAGGAGCAGAGACAGAAATGGTGTATTCCTCTCCACCTCCACAACCCACATCTAAGTCAAGGCCATCATTATCTCTATCCTCCTGGCTACAAAGAAAACTATTCTTCCACTTCACCGCAAGTAGAATCTGACCAGTGTGACCTAGTCCTGGCTAGTAAGCCAAAGTGTTACAGATCATTCTCAGACCTGGACAAACATCCACACCTGTTCTTCCCAATTGCAAAAAGCCTGTGTGCACAAGAAAGCATTTGAGAGTTGCCTAGCAAAGCCACAACAAACTGACTAGTGTGTTACATGATCAAGAAATCTACAAGGTGTTTAGACAACCCATTTCCCCACTTTCTTTCCAAGGCACTGCCTCAATAACTTCCCAACTCAACTTTAAGTCTCCTTTGTTTCCAGGAATGCATGCAGCTGAAAAAGCTACTCTCTTAAACACAAATAGGGAACTAGTAAAATGACACTTGCCAAACCCAACAAGACTCCACGTGGTCAAAGGGCTGATCCCAAGAAACACAAACAGGCTCTGTTGCAGGATATTTGTTCACACTGCATGAAGATCCATCTATGTTTTGTCTCATCTGCCTAGGGCACCTGACTCGTTTAATAAAGAAGTCCTACTTCAAGAATCACCATATCCGGTTTTTTTTTTTGGTTTGTTTTTGTTGTTGTTGTTGTTGTTTTGTTTGTTTTCAAGGCTTCCTGTTCACTTAGAATAAAATTCAAACCTCTTAAAAAGACTTACAAAGCACTACAGTATCTGGTCTCCTGTTCTCCAACCTCATCTCAAACTGTTTACTCCTTTTGTGATATTAAGCTCCCTTGTTTTATTTCAATAATGATCCATGTGTCTCAGCTCTGAGTATGTGAAGTTGGAACTATCCATTCTGACACAGCTAGGGATGTCATACTGCTCTATGCTGGGATGCCTTCACTGTTGCTGAAGGAGAACTGTTATTCTTAGCTACACGGCTATACCATAAAGAATTCCATGAAAGACTAGCAATCTAAATCACATTCAAAATGAAAAATTTCCTGAGACAGTCTCACTGTGTAGCCTTGGCTGACCTGCAACTTACCGTATAGATTAGAGTGGTTTTGAACTCATAGAATCTACCTGTTTCTGCCTCCTTAATGCTAGAATTAAAGGTGTGCATGACCATGCCAGCCCAGGAATGAATTTCATATTGAAATTAACTATATGGAAAGCTAATGTTCACAAGAACATTCAGATACAAAACAGACTTTTCTCAATGAAGATCATAATAGTGTTCTGCAAAAAAAGAGCAAGAGGGTGATGCTCAAAATCCCCAAATCTCTCTCTCTCTCTCCCTTTTGTTTTTCGAGACACAGTTTCTCTATTTAACACTCCTGATAAACCTCTGTGAGTTCATGGCCAGCCTAGTTTACAGAGTTACAGGTTTCAAAGCTACACAAAGAAGCCCTGTATTAAAAACAAACAAACAAAACCCAAAAAACTAAGAGGCAATATGAACAATATGAACAAAATCCTATACATGCAGGCAAAACATCCATCAATTATATTTACAATTAAAAAAAAAACCACTTTTGCTGGGTGGGGTAGCAACAGTCTAATCCGAGTACTGAGGAAGCCAACCTGAGCTACATAGTTAAGTTTCTGTCTCAAAAACGAACATGAAAATAAAATAAAATAAAACCAACACGGAAGCAACTCAAATACAATGTATTTTCTCAATGTGTTAGACAATCTGTGTGTAGTTTATTATATCAATAGCCATATGGGAAAGAAACAAGTTCACTCACTTAGGTCTCTCAGACCTCTGTGTGCTGTGAATACCATTGGTGAAAAAAGAAACTGCCTTGGCCTGTCGATAGAGCAGAACTTAGGTAGGCAGGGAAAACTACACTGAATGCTGGGAAAAAGAAGGGCAGAGTCAGAGAGAAGCCATGTAGGATAGGAGTGGACACTGACAACACTTCAGAATTTAAAACTTTCATTAGTTGGAGGCAGTGGTAATATAGGTCTTTAATCCAGCACTCAGGAGGCAAAGGCAGATGGATATTTACGAACTTGAGGACAGCCTGGTCCACAGAACTAGTTCCAGGACAGCCAAGGCTATTACACAGTGAAACCATTTCAAAAAAAAAAAAAAAACAAACAAAACAAAACAAAAAAACTTCCATTAGCAAGCAGCAAAATCCAATGGAGATAAAAAAATATGCTAATACACACACACACACACACACACACACACACACACACACACACATAATCATCTGTGGGCCTGAATTTATGTTTTCAAAGTAGGACAACTGTTTTTGCATTAAGCTTTAACTAGGCTCTAGCTGTGAGCAATACAATTTGAGGCAAACCCAGCTGATCACTGAAAGGCTCGTTAATTGCTACACTACAGAATTAATTCAATGGGCACAGACAAAGAAAGGCAGTAACATTTACCAACTGTCAGCCAGCAGCATGTACAGCCCTCAACAGATAGATTACCTAGTTATACAGTTCCTTCTGGTCAAGAAATTGCTATAAAATTTACTTAATTAGAATTATCATCATGGGAGGGAGAGTAAGTGAAGAGAGCAGAGAAAAATATGTAGCTCAATAAAACAATAAAAAAATTATCATCATGCTCTGTATCAGTGGTTCTCAACCTTCCTAACATTGTGAGACTCTTTAATACAGTTCCTCATGTTGTGGTGACCCTCAAACATAAAATCATTTTCACTGCTACTTCATAACGGTAATTTTGTTACTGTTATGAATCATAACGTAAATTATCTGTGTATTCTGATGGCTTTTAAATGATCCCTGTGAAAGGATCATTAGAACCCCCCCAGGTTGAGAACCCCTACTCTATATATTAAGTAAATCATTTCAAGAATAGAAATTTTGCTACATAATAAATCTAAGCCGGGTGGAGGTGGTGCATGTCTTTAATCCCAGCATTCGGTAGGCAGAGGCAGATAGACCTCACTGAGTTCGAGGCCAGCCTGGTCTACAGAGCAAGGTCCAGGACAGGCTCCAAAGGTACAGAGAAACTATAGTTTGAAGACAAACAAACAAATAAAAAACCCAAAAAAAAAAAAACAAACAAAAAAGAAATCTAACCATGAAGCAAATTCATCTGAAAGACTCTGACTCTCATTCTCCCTCACACACATACACACCCCCACATCATCATGTCACCTTTACGTTTCTCAGGCTGTACTAAAACAATGTTTCTTAGCCAGGTGGTGGTGGTACACACTTTAATCCCAGCACTCGGGAGGCAGAGGCAGGCATATTTCTGTGAGTTTGAGACCAGCCTGGTCTACAGGGTGAGTTCCAGGACAGGCTCCAAAGCAACACAGAGAAACTGTCACAAAAAAAAACAAATAATAATAATAATAATAATAAAGATGATGATGATGATGGTGCCAATTCCATACTTAATTCTGACTTTTTTTTTTTTTTTTTTTTTTGGTTTTTCAAGACAGGGTTTCTCTGCCTGTCCTGGAACTAGCTCTTATAGACCAGGCTGGTCTCAAACTCACAGAGATAATTCTGACATTATTAAATCTATAAAAGTAAATGTAAAGATTAAAAGAAAGGAAAATCAACATACAGAACTCACAAAAACGGCTACCTGGTAGTCTGGTTTTGTAAAATAATCCAAAGAGGAAATATGGTCAAGAAAGGTGCTGAATTCGGGAGGGAGGTGCTTCAGCATGAGCCGATGGTCATACCTCTCCTTAATGGAGCCTACTTGCTCCTGGAAGTGAAAGAGAACAGGAACCAAAGTCAACATCCCTTGAAAGCTATGATTTCAAGCACACAACGAACAATCTTAAGAGAATGTACGAGGCTGTGGAATAAAAGTGGTTTGAACTACAAACAAGAATAAGCACTCACTAATGGCTTACACACAGTGCTTTCAAGTGGGAAGGGAAGACAATATAATGCAGAGGTAACAGAGTGATGTCGAATCTGCACCAGGTAACTAAGTTCCTTAAAATGGGTTACTTTCCTTTATCAACATAGCATTCATAATTTTCCAAACAAAATAATCTGATAATTGAAAACTAAAACATCAGAGAAATGTTGTTCTTATAAAATGGATCTATTCTCAGTAGACATAAAAAAACCGTAATATTAATTATCTAATAACAGCCCACAGAGAGAAAAAGACACATTGTAAAGCACTAAAACTGCTTATAGATTTTAAGTTTCATATACAAGTGGATTTTCTTCTTTTTTTAATTAATTTATTTTTATGTATACAATGTTCTGTCTGCATGTATGCCTGCCCTCCAGAAGAGGGCACCAAATCTCATAGATGGTTGTGAGCCACCATGTGGTTGCTGGAATTGAACTCAGGACCTCTGGAAGAGTAGTCAGTGCTCTTAACCTCTGAGCCATCTCTCCTGCCCCGTGGATTTTCTTCTTTTAAAATTTGAAATAGAGTTTAAAATTAAACTGATACTCAAATACAAAAATTATATACTCATGAGAGGGATTATGAATTTTTTTTCTTTTTTCTTTTTTTTTCCTTTTTCACTATCCTTTGTAGTGCTAGGAGTTGAGTCCAGAGGACTTACAAACGCTCGGGATGCACTGTGCCACTGAATGATGTGCACATCTAGTCTGCATGATAACTCAACACACAAAGATCTTAAACTAAGTATATTTTCAACAAAAATGATTACTGAAAATTTTTATTTTGTTTTGTTGCTTTTCAAGACTGAGTTTCTTTGTGTAGTCCTGACTGTGCTGGAACTCACCCTCTAGACCAGGCTGGCCTCAAACTCACAGAGATCCACCTGCTTCTGCCTCCCAAGTGCGAGGATTAAAGTATGTGTCACGACCGCCCAGCTTGAAGAGAAATTTTTATTCTTTTCCCTACCAAAACAGACATTACAATTCCAGATTACCTTGTCCTTTATTTTTCTCCAAGGCAGCTGGCCAACCACAAACTCTACCAACATGTAGAATAGAGACCAAAGGTCATCGTGTCTTCCCATTTCCTTGAGAAATAAGAGAATTCGGTCATGTGATATTACCAGTTCTTCTGAGAGCATTACAATGTTTAAAGTCCACCTATTAATTTCCCATCATCTGATAAACATCTACATATCAACAGTTCATATCAATCCATATGAAGAATATATATATATATACTAAGAAATATTTTGATATAAATAATACACTATTTGGAGATGTAGTTCAACAGTAGAGTAATTCACTGCATGTGTGAAAGACCCTGGGTTATGGGCTGGAGTGATGGCTTAGCAGTTAAGAGCACTGTTGCTCTTCCAAAGGTCCTAAGTTCAATTCCCAGCAACCACATGGTGGCTCACAACCATCTGTAATGAGATCTGGTGCCCTCTTCTGACCTGCAGGCAGAACACTGTATACATAATAAATAAGTCTTTTTCTTTTTCTTTTTTGAGACTGAGTTTCTCTGTGTAGCTTTGGAACTTGTCCTGGCACTCACTCTGTAGACCAGGTTGGCCTCGAACACAGAGATCCGCCTGCCACTGCCTCCCAAGTGCTGGAATTAAAGGCATGCGCCACCACCGCCCAGCTAAATAAATAAATCTTTAAAAAAAATGATCCTGAGTTATAGCCTCAACACCATAAATAACATCCACCACCAAAAAGCAAAAACAACACAGGGCTGAGGATATAGCTCAGTTGGTAGAACCTAGCATGCACATGACCCTGGGTCTGATACCCAGTACCACATAACACTGGGTGCAGCAGTGCATGCCTGTAATCCCAGGACTTGGGAGGGAGAAACAGAGGGACCAGAAGTCAAGGCCATCCTTGCTACTTAGTGAGGGTGAAGCCAGCCTGGGTCACAATAAATCCTATCTAAAAATGAACCAATAAATAAAATAAGCCTCTAAAATCCACAAATGCTGAAAATACAAATAACAATTTAGTAACTAATGAACGCTTTAAGAAGAGATAGCTGGGTGGTGGTGGCGCATGCTTTAATCCCAGCACTTAGGAGGCGGAGGCAGGCAGATCTCTGTGAGTTTGAAGCCAGCCTGGTCTACAAGAGCTAGCTCTAGAACAGGCTCCAAAGCTACAGAGAAACCCTGCTTTGAAAAAAAAAAAAGTTAGGATAATTAATGAGATTGTAGCTCAATGGTAGTCTGCTTGATTATATTGCCAGCACTGAAATTTTTTTTCATACATACACACTCTGTTGTTTTTTGTTTTTATTTTTTTTTGCTTGTTTTTATATAGGATCTCTCTGTGTTACAGCCATGACTATCCTGAAACTCATTCTGGAATCAGAGAGGCAGATCAATCTCTGTGAGTTCGAGGCCAGCCTGGTCTATAGAGCGAGTTCCAGGTCAGGCTCCAAAGCTACACAGAGGAAACCCTGTCTCGAAAAATAAAAAAATCAAAATAGAAAAACAAAAAGTAATTAATTCTAAAAGTCTTTTTTCTTTTAGTCAGAAACAAGAATATTGGCAGGGCGGTGGTGGCGCACGTCTTTAATCCCAGTACTCGGGAGGCAGAGACAGGTGGATCTCTATGAGTTCGAGGCCAGCCTGGTGTACAAGAGCTAGTTCCAGGACAGGCTCCAAAGCTACAGAAAAACTCTATCTCGAAAAACCAAATAAATAAATAAATAGAAACAAGAAAATTGCTGTTTTAGCTTATGCTGTTTATTGCTTTTGTTGCAGTGTAGGGTTTAAATCGGGTCTTCCCACACTAGTCAAGAGCTTTACCACTGAGCTACTTTCCATGCTCCTTGTTACAAAATCTAACAGCTTGATGGAAAGAAGTTATTACATATTATAAAAAGTCTCTATATTCTGTCAGATACTGTTTTTTTCATTTGTTTGGAGTGTCTATGTGTCTGTACATGTGTGGGTCCTCATGTGCTATGGTAAACATGTAGAGGTCAGAAGACAACTTGCCAGAGTTAGTTCTCTTCTTCCACTATGTGGGTTCCAAGGATCACATTCAGATTGCCAGGCTAGCTGGGTGAGTACCTTTACCTGCTGAGCCATTATGCTGGACCCAACCCACAAATAATTTCTTAGAAAAGAATCCAGGTATTTGGCCTGGAGGGATGGCTCAGCCGCTAAAGGCTAGGCTCACAACTAAAAATATAAGAGTTCGGTTCCCAGCACCCACGGCTATCCCTCCAGGTATTGAAGAAAAAAAAAATAAGAATCCAGGTATTTTATTTCTTCAAACATCTATATTTAATTTTCAACACTAATACATGATTAAACAGACACATTCCCAACAGACATACTTAGCTTTTGCCTTTTCTGACAAATACAACTTTATTTTTTTATGCAGTTGCCCATATCTGTCATAACTATACATCTTACCATAAATTAGTATCATGAATTCCTTTACCATCAGCATTACAAAAGACAGTAAATTAGAACGACTGTTCAGGTAGCTATAAAAGGGACCCTCAGCTCCTAAGCACCTTTCATATCTCTGAACTACAATATGAAGATATCAGTCTGATGCAAGCCAGGAACACACAGTTATGACAACATTGGATCAGACAGATACATACCCTGTTCCGATGAGCATTGATTGATGCGTAACGAACTGTCCCTCGAAAGCCTGCCACAGCTCGAGGCTACAATAAACCACACAATCATAAGAAAATAAATAGCAAAAAATTTAACACAGGAAACACATGAAGCAAATGGTAGTGCATTACTATCATAATAAAACACTACTTATAGTAATTTTTACAAAGAGATTGTAGAAAACTAGAGAATGAATATTTCTAAACCACAACTTAAAACCCTGATGTTTTAATTATCTTGGACCTGTTTTCCTGTTTTCTTCTATCTGTATCCTTAATTTCTATTTATTTATTAATCTGTTTCTCTCTCTCTCTCTCTCTCTCTCTCTCTCTCTCTCTCTCTCTCTCTCTCTCTCCGTGTGTGTGTGTGTGTGTGTGTGTGTGTGTGGTCAGGGTAGGGGATGATGAACCTGACAATGTGCAAGTGGATGTCGGAGGACAAACTTTGGGAATTGATTCTTTTCTTCAACCACATGAGTCCTGAGGATTGAAATCAAGTCATCACGCTTGGTGACAAGTGCCTTATCTGCTGAGCCATCTCACTGGCTCATCTGTCTGTGTTTTAAAGTATGATGGCATAATATGTTCACTGGGCTCGGGAGATGTAGCTCCGTGACAGCACAACGGCCTACTACGTGTAAGGCTTTGGGTTTGGTACCAAGGAACGAACACACCCCCCCCCAAATGTTTTTGTGACATATACACAGCTCTGTAAATTAGAAGAAACAAATGTTTTCATTGACCCAGAATCATGCCAAGTACCAAAGCATCATAGTACATACATTAATGCTTATGCTTTGGTTACAGATAAATGTAAGAACACAGAGAACAACTATATCATTTAAGATGTTAATCTCACCATATTTTGTCTATTTTATTCAAACTTAATTTGAAGGAGGTTAGAACTATACTTACATGCTGGGTGGTGGTGACGCACGCCTTCAATCCCAGCACTCGGGAGGTGGAGGCAGGTGAATCTCTGTGAGTTCGAGGCCAGCCTGGTCTACAAGAGTTAGTTCTAGGACAGCCAGAGCTACAGAGAAACCCTGTCTTGAAAATATATATATATATACACATATGTATATGTATATACATATATATACATATACATACATATACATATAAATACTTACATGCATAAACAATTTATATTAAAATTTAAGTTTTGGATATGTAGTTATTCTAGGTAATAGAGATGAAGCCAAACATGATTATAGCCTGAGACAATATAACACCAAATAAAGTCCACACGCTACTTGTCTTAAAAGACTTTCTATACCTTGCCTTCTCATAGTGAATCTACTACAGTTTCTTCTATCACCATTTTTTTTTTTATCTAGTTCAAAACCAAGACTGCTCTCTCCTCTCGCCCAGCTTGACTAAAGCGACTCCATTCCAAACTGCTGAAGTCAAGAACACATGGCTAGCCTCCCCAGCAGGGTCCACCAAGGGCTCTCTTTCTGGAAGGAGCAGGACTGGAGCATTCCCACCTAGCCTTAGCAGCCTGCTGATGAAGGGACAGAGATGTGCGTGGGGCACTGCCTCTGACAGACTTTCTCCTGACATGACTCTAGCCAGACTCCCTGAAGTCTCTTCTAAAGTTGGCCTTGATTAGGGGGCATCTTTGTCTTTGCTAGTCCAGTTCTGACAAAAATCTCTCAGTGTTAAATTCCCTGGAAATGGAGTTACAAACAGTTGTGAGCTGTCATGTGGGTGCTGGGAATTAAACCCAGGACCTCTGGAAGAGCATTCGGTGTTCTTAAGCACTGAGTCATCTCTCCAACCTCGGCAAAAACCGTAAGAGGTAAATTTAGTCCATCCGCTAGCATGCCGGGCGTTGGTGGCACATGCCTTTAATCCCAGCACTTGGGAGGCAGAGGCAGGTGGATCTCTATGAGTTTGAGGCCAGCCTGGTCTACAAGAGCTAGTTCCAGGTCAGGCTCTAAAACTACAGAGAAACCCTGTCTTGAAAAACCAAAAACCAAACCAAAACAAAACCCTCTACCTGGACATTTGATCAAATTCCTTATGCCCCTATCTCTGTAGCTCACCATTGTGGTGTGCCTTAACATGATTACCTTCATATACAAATTCACCAGAGAAGAACTTTCTATGTATCATAAAGTTAGAACTCATGTTGAATGGACTCTAGCCAGTCCAAGCATGGCAAACATAGCTCTGGCAGGCCTTAACTTTTCTCCCTCATTCCCTCTGCCTATGTAAAAACACCATTAAATTACATTCCTAAAGCTAGCCACCAAGGTCTATTCCCTTATTTGGCCACGTCCCCCTCCTAAGGCTGACTACCAAGATCCAGATATCAAAGTATTGAAGTTCAGCAATCAAAACTCCTTTTAGCTACCCTAATTAACATGTCTAATCAAATTAAACATCTCATCCTAACATGGGGTTTCTGCTTGTACTTTTATAAACTACCATGTTCCTATGCACCACATCTGTCTCCTCTTTATCCAGAGGCAGTCACTCCCTTGTCATCACGCCCATCTGTCCTTTGTGCTCCCACGCCCTTGTTTCCTTCCCCTTCTCCCTTGCCCTCTATATCCTGTCTTTGCCTCTAAACATCTGCCCTTTGTCACTCTGTGTTGAGAACTTAGTCTTGGGGTGTCTTGAGCCAATACTAATCCCTTTAACAACCCCTACTGATTATATGTAGCTAACTCTAGACACTAGTTTCTTAATCTTGTCATCTACTGATCTGATTTCAATAAAACAAACATCCATCTTTTAATTCACTGAGCTTCATCCCCCTCCTCCTAACATTAATTCTGATACCTATTGTAAGGGGAGCGGGCCATGTCCCGCTGCCCAGCTAGCTTACCCCCTGAAATAACCACACAGAAATTGTATTAATTAAATTACTGCCTGGCCCATTAGTTCTAGCCTCTTATTGGCTAACTCTCACATCTTGATTCAACCCATTTCTAATAATCTGTATGTCACCACGAGGTTGTGGCTTACCGGGAAAGATTCAGCATGTCTGACCTGGCAGCTTCATAGCGGCTCAGCTCTCTTTCTGTGACCCTGCTTCTTCCTCTCAGAATTCAGTTCTGTCCTCCCTGCCTATCTCACCTCTGCCCTATCAAAAGGCCAAGGCAGTTTCTTTATTCAACCAATGAAAGCAAACACAAATACAGAAGAATCTCCTACACCATTTCCCCTTTTTCTGTTTAAAAAAAAGAAAGGCTTTCACTTTAACATAGTAAAATTACATATAACAGTTATAAAGCAAGAATTACAGTTACAATATTTAAATGTATTTTATTTTTATCATAACAATGGAAAACTATAACTGTCTATCTATTCTTCAATTCCATCAAAGACTCAAGAAGGATATAATATTACCTAAGTAAACAAGAAGTAAGCAACTTCTAAATATTGGTTCCTGAATCTTTCCTGGTAAGCCACGACCTCATGGTGACATACAGATTATTAGAAATGGGTTGAATCAAGATGTGAGAGTTAGCCAGTAAGAGGCTAGAGCTAATGGGCCAGGAAGTAATTTAATTAATACAATTTCTGTGTGGTTATTTTGGGGGTGAAGCTAGCCAGGCGGCAGAATGCGGCCTGCTCCCCTTACAACAGATTGGCGCCCCACATTGGGCGCCAGATAAACCATGAAACAATCCCACACCAGTTTGGATTCAAAGGGTTATTTGAGGGGAAAAAACTTATAGAACACTATCCTACACGACAGCCAGGAAAGGAGCCTAGTTGCTGGAGCAAGACAGAGAGCAGAAGGCTGCCACTGCTTTTTAAAGAGAAAGAGACCACGCCCCAGTGGGCTGGTATCTCAATGGCTATTGGCTGAAGGAGCAGAAGGAGCTCCCGCAGCAGATACCTAATTAGCATTTCTTTAAAGTGATACTGGAAATAATAGTTTAATTATCAAGTACTAAATAGTAATGAAAAAAACTTACTGGTCTGACGTCACCACAGGAATTGGTAAATTGTCGGGCCAAGCCAAAATCAAGCATGAAACATTTCCTACATGTACTGGGAAAGCGTCCCATTGCAAAGTTTGACTAGAAAAAATAAAGATGGAAAATACATATTCTTATAATAGTCCCATCTGCATTTTATGCTACATGAATTCTTCTAGTCTATATAGCACATTTCAGATACAGTACTGTAAATCTATAGTTTTTACTAAGCATTAATATATAGTATAGTAATATATAATTTATATATATCTATATAATATATAAATACAGTATAATTTAGTGGCTGGTTCTACCTTTTAAGGGAAAATTAAAGCTTTTCATAGTGGAGTGTTCTTGTAAATATTATTAGTGACTTGAAAAGGAGCTGTTAATGTCTCTACCACCAGGAACATTAAGCAAAAATAAATTTAAATATTTGTATAGTTATACATAATAACGACCAAATTAAATTCAGAACTAGAATTCTTTGAAATTCTAGTTTAAGTTACTGCTTAAATGACAATCCAACCTCCTAAATGAGGAAATCTAGGGATGGGGTAAATACATATAACATAAAAGAATTTTTATTATTTCTCAATCTTTATATACTTTATAAAGATTAAGTTAAGTATAAGGGCTAGTCATGGTGGCGCACACCTTTAAATCCAGTATGAAAGGCAGAGGCAGGCTGATCTCTGTGAGTTCAAGGTCAGACTGGTCAGCAAGTTTCATGTAGACACTGTCTTAATAAATAAACAAATAAATAAAAGAATTTCCTATAAGTATCATAAAGCTGAATTTCACTAAAATTAAAAATACAATCCAGGGAAAATATTCCAAAATAGTCCTAATGAAAACATGTTTTACATTTTTTCTCTTTAAGAAAGAGAAATCAGTGTAGCCAGATATGATGGCATATACTTTTAACTCCAGAATTCAGGAAAAAGAGACAAGACAATCAGTTTAAGGCCACCCTGAACTACACAGCAAGACCTGTCTTGCTACGTAAGACTCTGTCTTAAAACAAAACATAAAAGCCTCAAGCCTAAAACCTGTATAATGTGTTGTGTCAAGTGACTTGAAATTTGGAAAGTTAAATATGCAAATAAAAGAATTGAAATGGTAAAATTCAAGTTATTGTTTACTTTGTTGTTGTTGTTGTTGTTTTTCGAGACAGGGTTTCTCTGTAGCTTTTGGAGCCTTTCCTGGAACTAGCTCTTGTAGACCAGGCTGGCCTCGAACTCACAGAGATCCGCCTGCCTCTGCCTCCCAAGTGTTGGGATTAAAGGTGTGCGCCACCACCGCCTGGCTATTGTTTACTTTTTAAAAAGTATTATTTTACTTAGGGGCTTTCTGATGAAAGAGAAAGTCAGGTTTCTCCAATGATGATAGAGAAAGGCACAGAACAACAACATACTCTGCAATTGAAGCTGGCTACACAGTGCCTAGCTGTTAATCTTTATAAATTCAATCTTTCCGTGCAATAACTGACCTAAAATAAATCACTTAGTCATACTGTTTTATTTAAATGTACTAGTAACAGAAAACCAGTTTCTAGCTTCATAGTGGTCCTAACTCTAGAAGAACCCACTTTGAAGAAATTTAGTTGCCATTTTATGTAAACTAATTTTAGAAATGATGTAATAACAGATGGCTATACTTTCAAATGCACCAATATCAATAAATATATAAATATGAGATATCAGAAATGGGTCATCTTTCCTTATGAAAAATAAAATATCAGATAAAAAAGAAAGCACATTTCAGTAATGGAAGCAATGACTTCTATGAAAAACAAAGGAGAACAAAAAAAGGAAAAATAAATTTTATTTCCAAAGTAGCTCTTAGGAGATTAAGGTCTTTCATAGTTGATTATTCCAGTGAATACATTTGGTGACTTGAGAAAATGAACAACTGGTATCAGGAGACACACAATTCAAACTAATGATTTTTATGCGAGGTTGAATAATTAGCAATGCTAAAGTATCTAAAAATTGGCAGACACAAACTTGCCTGTGAGGTACTTGTGGGGACCAGAGAACAGCCTCAGGTGTTGCTCCTTAAGCAGGCTGGGGTTCACTGGCCAGCAAACCCTAGAGATTCTCCTATCTCACCTGTCCAGCCTGGGGATTACAAGCGTGTACCACCATACCCATTTTTTTTTAAAATATATAGGCTCCAGGGACCAAACGCAACACTCAAGTCCTCAAGTACTTTACTGACTGAGTCATCTTCCAGCCCCAAGCCTAGAATTTTTTATTTAGCTGGCAAACAACATTTTATGGTATGAAAAAGCTAATGGAAATAAGCAGAAGTTTCCAATTACCGCTTTAAATACAAAGCAAAACTAAACTAAAGGGTAAAATATTTTCGTTCTTAGGGCATTACAGAAATATAGACATTTTTTGTACTTAGTGACAACAAATACAAAAAAACCTACATTTATCAAACATTCTGTCTTTGACATTAGAAGTACCAAACAATAGCCTTCTGTGCTTAGAAAAGACAAGGCCCCTACCGGTTTGATGTCTCTGTGAAGGAATCCCACAGAATGGATGCTTTCAATAGACTCCAGAATCTGTTTCCCAAGCCGAAGAGTAGTGCTAATGGTGAATGTGCCCCGGGACTGGCTACGTCGAAGATCTGCCAGATTCCGACCCTATGGAACAGGATAATCACTATAAAATACAGTCCTAATATTGTGATAAGACTCGAAACATCTACTATATTACCATACTATAAAATGCTGTGCCTGAAATAGTAAGGCTCTTGCCTAAATTGTGATCTTCTAACTCAAAGAATTATGTGTGTGTGTGTGTGAGTATGTGTGTTCCTCTTTGTGTACATGACTTGTGGGTGCCCTCAGAAACCAGAAGAGGACATCTGATCACCTAGAATTGGAGTTTTAACTCCAATGGCCGTGAGCTGCTCAACAGGGATGCTGCAATCTGAACTCCAGCCCTCTGGAAAAGTAGCAATAGCTCTTAACCACTGAGTCAAGTCTCTCGAGGCCTAAGAATAAGCATGTTGTTAGTAATCATATATCTAAGTCATCATGTTTTGATTTACCCTTGTTATTTTAAAACATATAGACTTGACTTTTTCTTTCTTTTCTTTTCTTTTCTTTTCTTTTCCTTCCTTCCTTTTCTTTTTTCCCCAAGGTGGGGGGGGTCTCATGGTCCATGCTAACCTCGAACTCCCTGTGCAACCAAAGATGACAATGAACTGATCTTGCCTTCAACAACAATTTCTGAGATTACCAGTGTGCATCACCATGCCAAGTTTATGCGATGATGGGAATTGAATCCAGAGCCAGAGCTTCATGCATGCTAGTCAAACTACCAAGCTACATTATCAGCCCTTTAGATGTGAGTATTGAAAAAATATGAAATATAGATATCTCTTCTAGTTCCATTTATGTTACTATGATAAACATCTTAACAGAAAGCAACATAAGAGAAGAAATGATTTGTATGGCTTACAATTTCAAGTTACAGTCCATCATTTTTGGGGAAAGTCAGGACAGCAGCTCAAGCAGTTGGTCACATTTCATCCACAGTCAAGAGCAAAAAGAAAATAAATCCATTCCTGCTTGTTTGCCCTCAGCTAGCATTCTTCTCTTTTCTGGTGTTCAGAAGCAAAGTCTGGACCTTCCTACATCCACTAAAAATCAAGGCATTCCCCCAGAGCTGTACCTACCAGCTAACCAGATCTGGACAATTCCTCATTGAGTGCCCTTCCCAGGCAGTTCTAGGTGTGTCGAGTTAAAACCAACCAGCACCAATATCCACAGCAGCATTCCTCATTACTAGCCAGCACCCCTCCCCACAAGTTACTTAGTTTTCCTACACCAGTTTTTTTTAAGTAAAAAAGCTAATAATAATTCATATAATTTTATGAAGACTAAATAAAATCCATATGAAGTTTCTGGAATGCTGTCTTGTACTCAACAAATCCTAAGGACTGTTATTATTAGGAAACCTTTAGGAAACAGAAGACCATAAGGGCCAACAAAAGTTTAAACAGCTAAGTGATGGTGGATACCTAGCACAAGTCAGCTGAAACATGAACTATACATCCGGGGAGGTAGCCGGTACAGGGTATCTGAGCAACACAGAGTAAGTAGTGATGTAACTCTTATATAACTATTTCTGGCAAAATGCCACCTTTCTGTCTGATTTTTTTCTATTGATATGACCTTGAGTTTAGAGGCAAGCTTCCCTTGCCGTAGCCTTTGCCTGTGCAACCTGCGAGCTACGCCCCTTGTCTGTCAGCATCAGCCTACTTGTTAGTCTGTGTGCTAGTGAATAAAGCATGTTATACATGCTTAAAACTTCTCAGATTCTTTCAACTTCCCGGTCTCCTTCCGACCCTCCCTTGTCATTGGCTTCACAGCTCGGGCCTCACAAATGAGATGCACCAAACATTCAGCTATCAAAGCAGCAGCCAGGGTTGTTACACAAACCCTATCTTGAAAAAACAAACAAGTAAACAAACAAAACTACATCCCAGATAATACCAAGCTTTAATTTAAAGCAACCATTACTTTCATAAGAACAACTCAATTGGAATCAATTAACTTGATTAATGACATCAGTAATTACTTAAATGTCATAAAATGTGATTTTAATTTATCAACTGGTGTTTGGGGCATAATGTCTCATGTCTATAATTCTAGTAGCTTTTGTTATTGTTATTATTTTGAGACAAGCTTTATATAGCCCAGGCTAGAATGGATTTTGTTACCTAGCAGAAGGCTAACTTTTAATTCTTTTGTTCTTTTTGTTTATTTGTTTGAGACAGGGTCTCTATAGCCCTTGTCTATCCTGGAACTTGTCATATTGACTTTGACCCTCCTGCTTCTACTTCTTGAGTTTGAGAATTGCAGGAGTATACCATCACACAGAGCTAATCTCAACATTAGGGGGAAAGAAGAAGTTAAGCCCAGCCTGTACTACTAAGTGAGCTCCATAACAGCTGGGACTACAGAATGAGATCCCAATACATAACAGCAACAACACACACACACACCAGGAAAAAACAACACAAAAAAAAGATGTAACAAAATCTGGGAAGAGAAATACAAGGCTGATACAAAAATAGTGTGTACGAGGTGTAGGGGGGATCTTTTCATATAGTAATACTCAAGAAACTGTTGAGAGCTTATTTCTCCCAAGTAATTCTACAAAGTTAACAAGATCAAACTCCATGCGGTTTTCTGAGTGACTAAAGTGCATAAGGCCAGGAATGGTGACATACGCCTGTAGCTCTGGTACCCTGGAGACACAGATTATTGCCAAAACTGAGGCTAACCTAGGCTACAGAGGGACTTCTAGGCCACATAGGACTATATAGCAAGATCCTGTCACACACACAAACTTGAAGAAATAAAGAGAAAGACAGAGAGGCAGACAGAGATGGATGTTGGGGAGGAAGAGGATGAGATCTAAAGGAGGGGAAAGGGAAAGAGATTGGGTAGCATACCTAAATAGAGAAAGACAGTGAACTCCCAGGCATATCAGCTAATAATGATAATAAGCCCAAATGTGCTTGCTCAAACCTGTCATCTCAGCACTTGAGAGGTGAAGATTAGGATGTCAAGGCAATTCTAAGGGATATACTAAGTGCAAGACCAGCCTAGGCTACATGAAATCCTGTCTTAAAAACCAAAAATTCACACAAAAATAAAACAAACAAAAATAAATATAAAAACAGAAAAAGTAATTATCACATCACTGCCAATTTATTTTCATAGATAATGCCTTCTCAAACATAACTCTCTCCCATTCTAAGCATATCAGATTATTTTCATGTCAATTCCCATGCTATCATTTTCATTTATATATTAAAAAGTACATATGACCAAAGAAATAAAAATATAGACAGAAGTAATCAGAATGTCTGCTATTATAAATCTGACATAGAAACATCAATATGAACCACAATGTACTTTCTCTCTTAAAATTGAACTTTTTTTTTTTTTTTTTTTTTTTTTTGCTTTTCAAGACAGGGTTTCTCTGTATAGCTCTGGATGTCCTGGAACTCATGTTGTAGACCAGTCTGGTCTTGAACTCAAAGATCAACCTGCCTCCCAAGTGCTGGAATTAGATGTGTGAACCACCACACCCTACTAAAACTGGATTTTTTAAAAAAGACTTATTTATTTATTTCTTATGTATACAACATTCTGCCTCCATGTATGCCCGCATGCCAGAAGAGGGTGCCAGATCTCACTACAGAAGGTTGTGAGCCACCATTTGGTTGCAGGGAATTGAACTCAGGATCTCTGGAAGAGCAGCCAGTGCTCTTAACCTCTGAGCCATCTCTCCAGCCCTAAAATTGGATTTTTTTTGAATCTGTCTTCTTAAAAAAAGAAACCGGAGACAATGACCAATCCTATTGCAATAGGTACACATGACAGCTGAATTGTCTCTAAAGAGCACTTCCCATTAAAAGGAACCAGGGCTGAATGGAGGAACATCGAAAGCATGAAATAGAGAGAATGAACACAGTATACAATATTGCATCAGAAAATAAGGATGCTTTAAAAATGCTACCTAATCTGGTCAAAGTGCAGCCCATATAAAGTTCCACTAGCTAAGGCTCGAATTTACTGAACATTCAAAGCTGCAGGTTTGCTTGATGGCACACTCAGATAATCCTTGATTGAAAGGCTCAGGCAGAAAGTTTGGAAACAGCCTGGGATGCATGGTGAGTAGCACCCTTGTCTCAAACAAAAATAAAAGTTGCAATGTCAGTTCTACGAGTGTGTAATTTTATTGAGGAGGGAAGGAAAGAGAGAGACTATGAAAGCACAAAGGAAAGCAGGGGCTCCTGCCTCCTACAGGAGAACACTAGTGAGCCCACAGTTCTGAAGATGGATTAAAGGAAAGGAGCCTAATATTAACCCTGACTTCCCTATGTAAAAGGTATACTTCAGGGTAACCCAATACCACTTGAAATACTTTTATTTTATCTTAGTGGAGAAGAAATGATGCAATTAGAATAGTGTATTTGTAAATCTTGCTAAGATCACAAGCAATGCATACTAACGAACTGAAAAAAAGGAAAATAAGATACATTGCGAAAAATCACTTAAAACTTCAAAACAGGTAGACTAGGCTGCAGGGAGGTCAGACACTGGCCCTCAGAACACAGCTGGGACTGTGTAGGACACTTCTCAAACACCCTTGCCAAGGAAGTGGAAATTAGAGTCTAATCATCAGTTTATAAGAAATGGGTGGGGAACAAACAGAAACAATCAGCAAAATCCAGAACAAGAGAATTTTTACTTAAAACAACAAAGAAGGAATCTTCAAGTAAGTAAGACAAATGAACCTGCAGATCAAAAAAGGGCTTAAGAAATAAACAATGTATGGACATTATTTATAACCAGACTCCAGTAAGCCAAATGAAAAATTGATAAATAATAGGGGAATCAAGAAAATCTGAATTTAGCCAAAGATGGTGGCATAGTCCTTTAAGCCCAGCACTTGAGAGGCAGATGCAGATGGATCTCTGTGAATTCCAGCAAAACCAGGGCTACATAAGAAGACCCCGCCTCAAAAAAAAAAGAAAGAAAGAAAAAAAAGAAAAAGAAAGAATAAAAAAGAAAGTAAAAAAAAAAGAAAAGAAAATCTGAAAACGAAAGTTTGATGTCACTTTTTTTTCCCTCAGGCAAAACTATAATGCATATACTTCATGTTGTGGTTGATCTGAGAGAAAACAGGGAGCACATTAATGAACTGAAAAATGTAAAGGTAATCACTTCAATAAATTAAACTATGCTAACTTGAAATGGTGAATCATGTAAATCTGAAAGACTTTAGGGCAAAGGCACTTGCTGCCTAGTCTGACACCTAAGTTCAAACCTGGGGACCTACACAGTAGGAGAGATCCAATTTCCAGAAGTTGTCCTCTGACCTACACACACACACACACACACACACACACACACACACACACACACACA